GGAAAGGAACTTGCAACTTTCAAATATTAATGAACATAAAGAGAAATAAAGAGAAATTATATTACATACATATAATTTTTAAAATATAGCACATCAAAATAGTTGATGATATTTTTAAAATATCACATGTTAGATTATGACACATGGCACAAATTACATTACATCATTCTAAATGTTCAAAGTTAATAGAAAATTTAGTAATAGAAACAAAAATGTTAATATCTTATTATATAAGTTGATGTTTAACTTTTAGCTTTTGATGGTCTAGTTTGTGCTGGAATTATATGTTAATATTACAACTTCCAGATTTTCGTAGAACCACCAACATAATGTAAAATCAATTTGGTCTGCAATTTTTCGTCAATATTTGGTCAACTTTAGGCAGTAATTTTCCTTTGATCCTATTACTGATAACAAATTAATTAAAATAATATATGGTCAATATTACTATCTTGATTGCTACATGGGTGGCCTTTTATTATTTGACAGTCATGAATTAATTACACATGCAATTATGGTTCTGTCTCAACTTATGAATAGCCAATAATTTAAATGATATGATTCATAATCTACTCAGTGCTTATTTGGAGCATATTACCATTATTTTATCATATTGATTTTTGAGCTGTTACAAAATCAGATTACTTCAGTAATTCATTTTAGAATTTATGACTAAAGGGGTAATTAAGAATTTGTTTATTGGCAAAGATACAATAAATGAATAAATCTTAACTATAATTTAAAGAAAAAGTAATTGGTGATTAAATAAAAAGATAATAAAAAATCACAAATCTACTGTCCGTCTAATCGTTAGGCGGTCTAATTATTATACTATTTAAACAAAATGTATACTTAGACTATCACATGTCATACTTCTTTGTTATGTTGGTTTTAAAAGTATGATTTTTAATGAAAATGCGCACTTTTATAAATATGAAAAAAATATGTCAGCATAATGGTTAGAGGTCTAACACGAGCTCACCATTATAATTAGGATAAGATAAGAAAGACCGTCACACTTCTTTGATTGGATATAAAAAGTTTTTGTTTTGATTGGATTTTTGGTCACACTTCTTTGATTGGATATAAAAAGTTTTTATTTTGATTGGAATTTTTGTTTGGGTTGGTTAAATTTAAAAAAAGTTGGTATGGTTGATTGTTAGTAGGTATATTAAAATAATATTTAAAATAAAATGATTAAAATTAAATTGATGTAAAAGTAGGAAAGAGAGAGTGAATGTGATGTGATTGTTAGTTAACATTATGTGAGTTGATGAATAGTGAATTAAGGTTGATGTTGTTTGTAAGAATAATTGATTAATATTATTTAACTATATTGATAATATTAATGATATTGAGGTTGAATTAAAGTTGAGTTAAAAAAAAGTGGTTAAGTTAAAAATGATTGGATTTTTTTGAGTTAAATTTATATCCAATCATGGTCAAAAACTGAACAGTGACAGGATGTTAAATTAGACCTTTAAGAATGCAATATAAGAATAGAAATGAGTTATTATGGAAATAATCATTCACTATAGCTAAGGTAATAAATTTTTTAAAAACATATTTCCTCCTAAATTAATTAATTCATTTTGATGGTTGCATACACTTTTGATTGGGCCAGAAAACATCAAACCAGATTCAGTTTTATAGGTTGGCTCGATCTGACCCAACCCAATTCATTCCTACTAAACTCCTGTAAAAAAGTCACATTACTATTTGAGTTAATATGTTTCTAAATTAAAATAAAAAAATAAAATTCAAGAATGATCAATTAATTTGACTAACTAAACGGAAAAATTATGTAAGAACGTAATTGTTTTTTAGTGAAATTTAGTTGTAAGTTGTAACATATACCTTATTGAATTAGCGGGTTTGAGTACTTTTTTTTTCAAATTATAATTATATTTAAGGAAAATACTACATGTACATAATAAATGTACATAGAGGTGTACATAACACTCACATAGAGTGGGGTTCACTTAATTTTTTATTTTTGATAGGTCCCACTTAATGTGAGTGTTATGTACACTCTTATGTACAATATTATGTACATATAGCATTTTCCTATATTTAATAACTCAAAAAAAAGTTATTATATTGAACATTTTTCAAAATGAAATATAAAAAGTTATAACTCTTTACCAAATAATTCATTTATTAGAGAAATAACAAGTCAATTTCTCAGGGACAAAAATATATATATTCTTTATCAAAATTAGCCATCATCAAGAAATATGAAAGCAAATGGATAAAAACAATGGAAAACGAACATATATTTTCACCACATACCGTTATCATTTATGACCCCATTGCTTATGCATTTTTCTTTTTCACATTTCATGCAGTAAATTTGTCTTTACTAATAAAGCTGGTTATTGGGGACAATAGGAATCAAATCACTGAACTCAAACTCTGCAACTATGGGGTACACCAATTTTTGCTGTGTTAGACACTACGTTGCAGTATTGTTAATTTTTTTAAAAAATAAATTCAGTCTAGGTTTAGCAGGACATCAATAAAAATTGAAAAAATAGCATTATTATTATTAAAACAATGCATTATGAAAGGAGTATTCAACAAATATAAATAAACAATAATAAAACTGTTGTTAGACAAAATCTAACAATTAGTCAGTCATAATAGAATCAAATAGGGCACCGATCATAGACTAAAAGATATTTTAGAGGCCTTTAAAAGCCATATGACAGGCCAGAGTCATAAAGGCATTTACCAGATCTTAAATTTTAAATAGAAATGTCGAATTTTCATAAACAACATTAAAAGTGTGACATTTCAAAACACAAGCATGCANACTCGTCATCGATTATGAATCCTCATAATCAAAACTATGAATAAACAAACACCAGTAGGGGCTATTGGTACATATGTACATTAGAATTTTCTATTATTCTAAATTTCAACTTTAAATGAGTTGGTAAACTGTAACAGAATCACAAAAATCCCTAGCAATTATTCTGTCAAATTGAGTAGTACTCATCAGCAATAAAGAAGTACCAACCACCAGCAAGCAATTGTCACCATCTCTATATAAGCCAAAAGTTTGTTGCTGCTCTCTTTTCCTGCGTGATGGGTAAAATAATTTCCACAGATTTTTCTCTTATAATGAGTCACTGAGATTTGCAGGTGGTAGGGGACCGTGAAATTGATGGATCAGTACAACATTTAGGTGGTACCCATTACATTGTTTTTTTTTTTTCTTTTTTTTAACCTTTTTTTTTTCCTTTCCCAATTTTGATTTTATACTTTAAATTTTAACTGATGGGTTCTTGTTTACTTGGCTAAGCTCTTTCATACTTCTACTAATTCATATGATGAGATGGTATAATCGTTAGACAGGCCGACTGTTCATAATTTTTTAATAGAAATGTATATTTATATTATGAAATGTTATGTTTTTGTTTATGTTGATTGGTAGAGTCTCATATTTTAATTACAAAGTATGGGTAGCTGTCGAAAAAAATATGCTTAATCTAACAGTTAGTCCCATCTAAATCTAACTACACTAATATGCTTAATCTAACAGTTAGTCCCATCTAAATCTAACTACACTAAAAATCTTTTGTAAAACCAGCTGAGCTCTCTGGTCGTTAACTCAACGAGTTTATAATTGAGCTCGAGCTTGGCTCATTTATCAATAATAACAAACCGATATCAAGCCAAAATCTAGCTGAATTATAGAAAAATACATAAAAATCATATTTTCGAGCCGAGTTGAGCTCGGCTCATTAACTGAATAAGCTTTAATTTAGCTCAAACTCGACTCGTTTATCAAACGAGCCGAGATCACAAGCATCTCGTGTAATTTAACAGCTCTAACCACCATAGAACCTCAACTTCTCAACTGGCATGACTAAACCACTGTACTGCACTAAAATGTCGACCGTCTAATGGAGAATCGTGTATCGGTGTTCCTGTTTGCTTTTAAGTGGATTTAGAGCTTTCGAGGTGTCAGTTAAGGAATAAGAGATCCTAATTTCTCCATAGCTTGAGCCAATTACAACTATGGCTTTCAAGCAAGCCCAACTACAAAATTCATCAGCTGTCAAGGCATCAAATGAATCTAGATGTAGTAAAACTATGCATCAAAAGAAAACAGTAAAAGACACTTGAACAAATGCACAAGTACAGCAATCAACCTAATGAGCTCTACATGTCAAAAATGAAAAAGAGAAAAAACAAATGATCTACTCTCAGATTAACATCAACTTGGCCCTCGAAACCGACCTTTATCCGAATCGATGCTCCCTTGAACCGAAGCAACGATAATGCAAACGAGTGGTCACTTTACTCAATTTCCTTTTGTAGGCCTCAAGGGGAAGTGATGAATTATGAAGGCAGTAAAGCTAACAAAACCAAATTTAATGCTAATCAAAGGGGTATCTTTTTCCATCCCACATGAATAATTGTCCATTTCTATTAGGAGGAAACAAATGCAATTGTTCCTCTTTATGTGAAATAAACAGCTAAAATCAACATCAGCTACAGATATATGTGCCAATCAATATGTCTATGCTGAGAATATGCAAAAAAGCTTTCATTTCACATGAAAACAAACCAAGATTTCATTGATCAAAATGATATAGCAACACAAATATAGCTTTGGTAATAGAACACAAATAGCAATTCAAATGGCTTGAAAAACAAAGTCGAGCAACAATTTGATCATTTTCCAAGCACGACACACACAAATTCTAAAACCCGGACACAACAAAACAACGAGAACATAAAATAGAGCAGCAAAATCAAAAATTTGAAATAGAAAACCTGAAACTAAATTTCAGAATTCATCGCTATCGGTAAAGACTCGAACTTTCTTCACTTCTTGATTTTCTCCTGCTAAAAATATGAATAAAATTTATAAGCCCTTCATATACGTGACTGGAAACAAAAAGGAAAACAGCAATTCAAGATGAGATAATCGAAAAGAACCTGTAAATTGAAGAAAACAGTGAAAGTTTGAATTTTGCGAGGTGAGTTTAATGGCGAGAATCAGAGGAAGCAGACGATGGCTTTTCGGCATAGCCATGGTGCTCCTCATGGTCACCCTGAATTCGTGCTGGCACTCGAAACCCGGAAAATCCGGCGACAGTAGCCGGAGACTGATAGATAGGCAGAGCCGACGGATATTGCTGGTAAAAGTGGTGCGGGCTCTGGTCGAGTTGTCCAGCGGATGGTGGGTCCATCCAAGCACGAACTGCAGGTGAGTTACTGGACTGAAGGGGTCCCCTCTGTGCAAAAATTTGGTTCTGGTCAAATAGCTGCTGCAGCGCCGGCGCCGCCGCCGGAAAATTGAGCAGGTGGTATCCCCCAGCTGTGGAGCCGCCGGTGCTCTCGCCGGGGAGATTCCAGGCCGGGAGCCTCTGGAGACGGCCGAGCTCGGCCGCCTGGTGCTGGCGGCTCTCTGTCCACCCGTCAAACCCTAGGGGAGCGGCGGCGCTGTGGTGGCTATGGTGGTGGAGCAAGATTGGATCTTGAAACGACTGCAGCGAAAGCCTTAAATCCTGGGTATTAGTGCGGTTGTGGCTGTTTCTCGAGAGAAAATCGGGAGATTGGAAGCTTTGAAACTCCATGGCGGCAGAGGACCTAGTCTCCGCCTGAGCCCCCACCGGGAAAAAGGACTTTATGGTGTCGGCTATGGCGTCGGAATCCAGAGACGGCGGAAGAAAGCTCTCGTTTTCGTTAATTGTAACCACTAAATCGGAATTTAAGCCGACACGCTGCTGCTGGTCCTCGTTTTGCTCGAAATTCGGGCTCGGGCTCGAACCGGCGGTGGGCTGCCAGGCCGGGAGCTGGGCCAGCTCGTCGATGGCGGCCTTGGCCTTCTTGATGAGCCAGTCCACGGCCTTGCTCGGCCGGTCGTAGCCCAGCCGGTCCTGGACGTCGTAGAACTGTATGGCGGTGTGGGCAGCCAGGCGGACCCGGCGGTCCCGCGGGCCCTTGGCCGTGCAGACCTTGCTGTGCCGGTCCTTCCGCCCCGTCGACCGGATGATGTGGCCGCCGCCCTGCACCTCCACGACCTCACCGCCGGCGCTCCTCGGCCGGGGCATCGCATGCCCGGTGGCGGGCTCCAGAGATAAAGCGGGGGTGAAGCACGGCCGCTTCCTGGGCAGCGCCGGCGGCGGCGGCTGGTGGGGGTCGGCGCCTGGGTTCCCGTAAAGCAACTGGATTCGCCGGGAAAATTCCTCCACTTCTTCTTCTTCCTGTTCTTGTTTCTCATAGACGAGGTGTTTGCGAAAATTGTCCAGCTTTTGATGTTTTTTCAAAGCTTTTTTTTTTCTTACCAGCTATGGCTTCTTCTGAAACTGTAGACTCTGCCACCACCAAAAGATAGCTGCCATTCACAATCACAGAATTCCCTTTTTCTCCATTGCCTTTGAGCTTTGGACAGATATAAAGAACAGTTTTTTTTTTCCCTTTTTTCTTGTTCATAATAGGCCTAACTCATTCCTTGTTCACAGAGGCTTTTGAGTACTGTACTCT